TATCCCCTGTTTGGGGGAAAATAGGAGAGTTGGGCCTTCCCACCACGCTACTCGAGTGTGTATGGTAGGTGTCCTCAGACACCGCGGCCGTACAAATTTCATCCCACCACGCTACAAGAGCGTGTATAGGGCCTTCAGCAGTACCCGTACAGCAGAACACCAATAGCTCTCCCCACCACGCTACATGAGCGTGTATAGGGCTTACCCACCTCCTACCGTGCTACAAGAGCGCGTATAGGTGGTTCCCCGATCCGCTGCAAGCGTCGAGAATGGGATTTTGGAACATCATACCTTTGCGTAGCGGTGTCGTCGGCGGTGTCGGTGTCGAGGTCGAGGACCGTCCCCACCACGCTACAAGAGCGTGTATAGAGCTTACCCGCCTCGTCGTATACTTCACACCGGGCTCCCTCCTACCGTGCTACAAGAGCACGTATATAATTAATTATAATACCTATAATTAATTAAAATAACTATAATCAAAATTAATTATAATTAATAAGAATTAAAAACAAAATAACTCTGATCTCCCTCTACCTCTCTGTTCGGCCAAGATAGCACGTGAAAGGGATCAAGTTATCTTCACTAACAAGGAGCTCCCGTCGTTGTTCTTGATCAAGTCGAAGGAGGCGACATCGAAAAGCCACTAATGGAGCCGTGGAAGCCGCGTGAAAGGGAGGAAGTTTTCTTCACAGCCGCAAGCTCCAGTTGTAGTTTCCGATCAAAATGTGCTAACTTCCAATCCGGCAGGTAGGGAAAGTCGGAGGAGCGGTCGAACTGCAACGAAGGAGCCGGAGAAGCGACGCCAAAGGGAGAAAGTTTCCTCTCAGTGAGCGAGCTTCAGTTGTTTATTCCGATCAAAATGTCGGAACTTCCGACCGGAGAGGAAGGAAGTCGTGGAAGGAGCGAATCGAACAACCCAAAGGAGCCGAGAAGCGACGAGCTCGCGTCGTTCTGTCCGATCAAACTGTCGTAACTTCCAATTCGACCCAAAGGGAACGTCGTTGAAGGAGCTTCGTCGAATAGCCACTGAGGAGTCGGAGAGGGAGAGAGGGAGAGAGGGAGAGCTTGCGGGAGCAGAGAGCGGAAGAGGCAGCGAGAGTGAGAGAGCCCGAGCTCTCTCATTTCTTCAATTTTTAACGAGGCAGAGGGGTCGTGCGGAGGACGTGCATGAGGCGACGTCGATCGTGCGCGACGTGCGGAGTTCGACGCCGAACGGGTACGTTAAATCTTTTTTTTTTTTTGCTTAGGTTTGTAGGTCAACAGAAATCCAATACCTGGGAATCAAAATTGCTTTGAGACGCTTGATAAAAAGTGATTTTCAATTTGTTATTGATCATGCATTAGATAAGCTTAATACCTGGGGAGCTCGTTTCCTGTCACTTGCTGGAAGGCTGATCCTTGCTAAATCTTCACTTCTTTCACTTCCTACTTTCATCTCAACGCATTCATTAATTCCGAATACGATATTATATGAGCTAGACCGAATCTGTAGAGAATTTATCTGGCATCAAAAATATGGTATTAAGGGACTTCATTACATAGCCTGGGACGAGTTATGTATTCCTAGAGATAGTGGTGGTTTGGGCATGCACTCTTATGTTAAAAGAGTTGGTCCCTTAAGAGCACGGTTGGCTTGGAGACTTTATCAAAATCAATCTTCTCTTCTCTATAAGTGCTGGTCTGCTAAATATGGTTCCTTCATGTGGAATTGTAAGAATAAAGATGGGCAATCTGCAGCTAGATCCATCATCAATGATGGAGTTTCATTTCTTAAACCAATTGTAAAGTGGAACATTGTTGATGGGACTAGTATCAGCGTGATGAACGACATCTAGTTACTTGATAAATGTTTCAGCAAATGGCCTATGCTAGCTGACTGCAACGGTTTGGAAAACCTGATGTTGAATAGCTTCATCCTTGATGATGGCAATTGGAATACTTTGGAACTCAACCGTTACTTCAACTCTGAGTTGGTCAACCTTATTGTTCAGCATTGTTTCATCCATGAGGGAGAAGATGACTACGTGGAGCTTCTTTATCAGCATTCTGGGAAGTCTATTACCTCTTTGGCTTACTCTGAATCTATCAAGGATCACAGAATTATTGAAGACTCTGGATTTGCCAGTTGGCTTCGCAAACTTAAGCTAAAACCAAGAGTCGAGCTTTACTGGTGGCGTTTAAGCAGATTTGCCATTCCCACTAACGAATTTTTGAAATTCAGGAAGCTAAGTAACAGCAATCTGTGTGCTTATGGTTGCTCTATGGTTGAAAATTGTGAACATATCTTAATTCATTGTAAATCTCTTACTGAAATCTTAAGTAAACTGAGGTCCTGGGGATTTTATATTCCAGTATTCAGCTCTCTAGCTGATTGCTTTCAGCAACTGAGAAGTTTATCCAATGCTAACAGAGATGTTGCAAAGATATACTGCACGGCAGCTTATTTTTCCTGGAATCACAGGAATGATATGAAGCATGGTAACCCATCAATTCCTGTATCTGTTCTTGCTACCAACGTTCTATACACAGCTACAAGTAAATACCTAATACTAGTTAACTGGGATGCTAACCTCCATTGTGAGTCTGAAACCACTTGGCATCCCCCACCACTAGATTGGATTAAAATTAATGTTGATGCAGCTTTAATGGATTCTAATTTAGCCAGTATTGGTGGTGTGGCTCGGGATTCTAAAGGAAGTTTACTTCTAGCTTTTCGTAAGCAAAAATTGCATTGGGACATCAACCAACTTGAGCTGTAAGCCATTTTCTCTTTGAAGTACTTCATTCAAGACTGGAAATTTGATTGTAAAGGCTTAATAATTGAAGGAGACAATTACAATGCCATCAAGTTCCTACAAAATTCGGTTGTGAACTATTCTGCTAATGGCCAGTTCTCCGAGCGGATTTCCTTTCTCCATGACTTTAATAAGGTAATTTTCCACCACATACCTAGAAATTGTAATAAAGTTGTTGATTTGTGTGCAACTTTAGCTTTACATAATAACTTTTGCTTTGACTCTATTTTTTCTCCTGATATTTCTTCTTCATTATCTTGTCTTCTGAAGAAAGAATATGAGGCCTGCTTATCTTGATTAGTTTGTAATAGTTTCTTTTTCTTCCTTGTTATTAATGCAAGTTTGCAATCTTCAAAAAAAAAGAGAAGTTGAAAAATAATTAACTATAACTAATGAAGAAAATTATAATTAATTTTCATTCAAAGTTTATATTTTTATGTTATTAAATTAGTTTTTGAAATAATAAGGATGTAATTTAAATAAAACTTTAAAAGAGCAAAGTGACGAAAATTTAAATGTTATTTATGTACATTTAAAATAAATTAAAAGGTTAATAATCTAATTTTAATGATATTTTAAAAATTAATTAAAAATTTTTAACCATTAGATATGTTTTATGTACTTGAATAATTAAGTATAATTTCTACACTTCAATGAAAGAAAAATATTTTTTAAAAATGAGATCAATTTTAGTAAAGAGAAACATGCATAAATTAAATAAAAAAAATTAACATGAATATCTTGTATGTATGATTAAAGGCATTTAACTAAAG